GCAATAAAACTGTGTATTTTTATTACATTAAACTTTGCGTTCTAAGGGACTGGTTGATGACATTCAGAGACAGAAAAGTAAGCAAATTTAAGAAATCAACCAAACACACACATGCAGTTGCTGATTAAATCCATGGCAAAACAGGACAGAAGTACAGTATTTTTACCATCAAAACCAGATTGGCACAGTCCCAGGCAAACACAGTCTAGAGAACATCCCTCACAACAACATCACAAGCCACAGAACACTTCCTAACACTCTTGTGACAAACTTAGGTGCACAGGAAAAAAAACACATCCCAGTCCTTGTCTCATCTCTTCAACCTAATTCTTACACCTGAGGGCAGGTGAAGGGTTCTTCAGTCTTTTCTTTCAGATTCTAAATTAACTAGATGTCTCCAGCTCCCCAGAACACTGAAATCATGTGCAAAGAACCATCTGGTTCCAGAAAGAGAGTACAGTAATTCTGCAAATCGCCATCAACCCTGAGAGAGCACATGAAGCCCATAATTTCGAAGCAATTGTTTACCACTCCCTCTTCGTTATGTTCAGCTGAGAGGATGTAAGTGAGCAGCTGCACAGCTCAGGTAGACGTGGAGAAACTGAGGGCTGATTTCAGAACAAAGATTTAAATCTTACTCAAGAAGATCAGATCTTACTCAAGTGTGCTCTTGGCAATCCTGCTTTAGCAGGGGAGTTGGACTAGATGATCTCTAGAGGTCCCTTCCAACTCTGAAAATTCTGTGATTCTGTGATCTGGAGCTCAGCTAGAAAATGCAGTGGCACTGGGGAAAACCAGGCATTACTACACCGGTGTTGAACGCAGAGTCCTTACCGTTTGGCCATACTGCAAGAGCAGCACCTTCTGTGTCACCACAAACTGAGCTTTCTTGTTTTTCACAACCAGGTTCCCCAGCAACCTAGACAAGGCATCTGCCCTAGCAAGACAGGTCAGTAGCAGAACATTAGGAATCCATGTAATTACTGCCCCGTGGCCACTAACCGTAGCAAATTCTGTGAGTGGCCATTTGCAACAAAGTCTCTAAAACACCTCTAAACTTTAAGAGTGGGACAATAATTGCAAAGAACGTTTTCACTTGTTTTTTCACTGTGTGTCACGACACAGATCTTTAAGGAATGGTGCAGGTTCTACCCGAGAGGGAACCACCAACTACTTTACTCCTAGGGTCTCTCAGGAAATGGCACTGTAAGAAACTACCTGCATAAACACACCCACGTCAGCATCTTTCAGAAACCAATTTTGCAAGTGTTTGTGAAAAAAATTCCAGCCTTTGCTCTGGATCAGGGAGGAAAGCAGAGTTCTTACCCAGGTGCTCTCTGCACAAAACCAAGGACCACTGCTTCCATCCAGCGATCTGGCACACATTCAACCAGTCGCCAGCATATTCTTTGCCAGATGCAGTCTGACTTGGTAAGATCGTTAAGGCGGGGTACCAAAATGCTCAGAATTTCCTCTGAAGTGGAAGAGAAAACAGGTCAATACACCAGATGGACAGAACTGGTGAGATGGTGCTCAAGCTCAGCCTGCAATTTTCAAGATGAAGAAATACAACATAGAGTTTGCAGTTCTAAATTTTTCCTGTGGTAAGATCTAACCTAAGCAGCCTAAGGAACTTGCAAGTATTCCTCATCACAGTAAACAGCTAGAAAATCTTTCCTCCTCTTCCCCAGTTCTGTTAACTAATTCCACATTCAGTGGCTTCAAAGTCCTAAGCAAAGCCAGACTGAAGGCTACTCATGTGAGAGGGTTATTACACATGGGCAGTGATTTATGCTGGTATTTAGAAGGCACCTTCAGACCACTGGATGAAAAGCACTAGAAGAGCATTTAATAGTTATGCCTCAAATGGCAGGATGAGAAGGCTAATAACCTCAGCAATTTCCGAGAGGAAAACAAATCATGTTCACGTGAGCGGACAAAAAAACACTGACATCTATCAGACACGTGGTTGAGCAGCCCCAGAAAGCAGGGAGCAGCCTGTACAGTCCAACTCACAAAACTCCTGAAGTATTAACTGGTCAGTCTTCCACTCCCTCTGCTGATCATCATCATAGTCATCCTTCCATACTAATGCAGTAAAACAGACTTTCCCCCTCCCCAAAACAGTACTGTAAAACACTCACTTTGTCTCCCATGAACGCATACCTTCCCCAGGACATGAGAAACAAAAGAGATTGAGCAATCCAAGCCACCTGGGAAAAAACAGACACAAGCTTACCAAGAGCATCACTATCATCCATCCTCCTTCCTCCAAACAACCTTCAGGAGGAGGTGCATAGCTTCTACAAGTACTGAAGCCTGAAAACAAAGATTAACTCTTTCTCTTCAGGCATCATCTCTTCCTCCCTCCACCATCTGCCTTCAGGCACAAAGCAGCACCAGTATTATTTATACACAGCAAGAGGACTAAAGTAGCTCAGGCCCACTTTAACCCCATGGTAACAAAGCCACTGGTTCATTTGGTACCATTTAAATCTTTCATACAGACCAGATTCAGCACAGACCAAGCGACCGCAGTTACGCTTTGGCAACAGATGATGCTACTTAACAGCTTGTAGGATTGCAGTTTTCAGTGGGATTTTAAAAAGCCTCAGCCTTCCTCCTTGTTCCTGGTATCTTATGCTTTTAAGCACAATGAACTTCAGCCTAAAGTATTAATGTGAGGCTCTGCAGCAGCCCTTATCTGTATCTCAAGCACCAGCCAGGGGGGTCCATGCACAAAACACTTCTCCAGAAGAGCCATCTCTGTAGCGCAGTCCTCCTGTAATCTTACCTCTTAGAGAATCGGAGATCTTCTGCAGCACCTGGATAATTGCCCCGCCCAAGAGAGGAAAGTAGTTCTGCGGGAAGAACACTGAGGGGGTTTTCCCCTGGAGTTTGTTGCTCACATGATCTGGCAAACACACAACCTTGTTGAGCAGAGCCTCTTGCAGCTCGGGTGAGCCAGCCTGCGCCTGCTGCTGACAGACCTCCCACAGCAGCGCTGACATCCGCCCCTCCTGCAGGAACCGCTCCAGGACCTCCACCACTTCCCTCGGGTGAAAGCTAGGGCTGGAAGAAAGTAACTGGAATGAGTCCCTGCACCTTCTAACTGGTAAAAAACCGATGTGCGTGCTATTGCTTTTATGTTAGGGTCTCACCATTACAACACTCCTGCCCAATTACACAGTGTTTTCATCAAAATGAAATTAAAATCCAAGCAATTTTGATCTCTCTATATCTCTAGTTTCCCAGAGGTTTCAGGACGTGCACTCTGCATGTCCCAGGGCAGAGGGTTGGAAGTAGATGATCTTTAAGGTCGCTTCCAACCCACGCCATTCTGTGCCGCTGTGACTGGCGACAGCTGCCTCACCCCCACGGGAAGCACCAGTACCGCGGGTGGGTTTGGACCCGAAGGGCTTCAGGGTGCCCGAGGGCAGGGCGAGGCCTCCCCGCGACCACCCTCACCTCGCTCCGTTATGCCCCCGCGGGGCCCCCTCAGCCGTCCCGCCCCTGCGCTCCGAGACAGCCCCCGCACAGGACGAGCCCCGTCGGCTCTCCTGTA